CATAGAGGACCTACAATAATGTACAGTATTTGAAAAATAATGTGTTTTTTGAACATTAAAGCATGTCAACATATTCTGTTACACCTAAAACACTAAATAATGATCTTTAAAAAAGCATCATATGACCCCTTTAATATAACATGGAGCAATAAATCTGCATCCCCCCTAGGGGGCCCCCTCTCGCGTTACTCTGGATGTGCTTGCTTTTTCCTCGTGATGCGTCGGCTGCCGTTTTCAAACCAAGTGGCAACCTCCCGCTCTCTCTCATGAAGCCAACAAGGAAGTGACTTAAACTGTAATTCATCAACTGGCCGCTAAAGGCTGGCTGCAAAAGGGAGTCAATCCCTTAGACTCGCCATGTTAAAATGCCCAACATTACAGCAGAAAAAAAACATGTTTACAGCCTGGTTCAAAAAATGATTTTGGTCTATATAGCTAATTTTGCCCTTCATGACAACTGTGAGGGGGGTGAATTTTTTTATAACTCATCCGTTTCAATTATATTAAGCCTTAAAATTCTGCATAATTAAGGGCGTGGCCACTTGAGTGACAGGTGGATTGCCTCTTCTGTCACCACCGTCGAGCTAGGTGGGCGTGGCTTCACCAACCTGCTCCCACCTCTTTGCCCATTTTCGATTATCCGGGGGTGACGCGCGGTGACGCGCTGCCAGGATGGCGACGGCCGCCTCCGCCCACTTTTGAGATTCAAAAACGCTCTTCGGAAATCTACGGGTGACGTCACGGACACTACGTCCATGTTTTTATACAGTCTTGTTTTTATACAGTCTATGTTTCAAACTGGCACAGAGGATTGACTTCGAGCTGAGAGGGAAGGAAGGAGCGGAGGAGGAGTTTCCGGACAGGATCGCCATTTTGGAAGCAGGTGTATTCAGATCGGAGCAACGGAAAAGTTTTGATTGTGATTCAAATAACTCATACTGAGTTTTGATAAGCATAGAAGTTATAATATTAAGAAGAAGAAAAAGATGGGGAAATCGCGAAAAAAAATGAGGAAGTTGGATCAGAGACAAAAGATAGGATTGATGATTCTGAGATTGAAGATGAAATGGAGACGGGTTGGTCACAGGTAGAAGGAGGGAGAATAAAAAGTGTAGGAAAAACAAATAAAAAGAGGAAGAAAGATAATGAAGAGGAGTCAGTAATTATAGATGAGGATAGTGAAAGGGAATTAATAAGTGGAAGGAGAGAGGAAATAAAAATCATTGTGAGATTTAAAGAGGGGCATGGAGTAAAAGGAGTAAACCCAATTGAAATAACAAATGAGTTGAGGAAACAATCAGGAGAGATTAAATGTGCAAGAGTACTTCAGGCTAGAGTGAGCTGAGGCGGCGGGGTCGAGAACGGCGCGCCCGGTGGATGCGACGAATGAGCGGCAACCACATGTGACGGACTGCGGGCTGGCCTCCGCTTTGTCCACGGTGAAAGTTGATGTATTCCCTCAGCGACCAGCACAGATCAGCTCTAGGCATGACGAAGCGGATATCGTCCTCTTTTGGAAGACCAAACAAAGTAGTTTCGCTTTCACAACGAAGCACACAGCGCCTTCACGACATGGCTGCAACAATACTACAGTGAGAATAAAAGTTACGCCTTCTTTCTTTGCGTGAACATTTGGGCGGCGTTATGCAAATCTTCCCACATAGTGAGGTAGATATGTGGGGGCGTGTTAGAACGAGCCATTTTAGGTAGGTATGGCTGACTCTGAACTTTTATAAAGAATATCTCTTTGGATTTGAGACTTTAGTTTTTGCAACTTTACAGATCTTCTTTATGCACCAAGAGCTTGTAACACTCCAAAGAGAAAGGAAAAATTGAAATCGCATCATATGACCCCTTTAAGAGGACCGTCCAAAAAAATTACACGAGTGAATCCGCCAAATTTATCCACTATTGACGGTGATAAGATAACTGTAGCAATGGACGGAACGAACTATCTGACAAGCTGGTGTCAAAACAGCTGTGCTTTAAGTGATGCAGAGTAACAAAACTACAGCAGCAACAAGTCTGTGTTGCCTTTAGCAGCTTCTACAGGTAAAGATAACTTAAAGCTCTCCTTTGATGTGTCCTTTTTAGGCAATGTTTGAAAAGTTTAATTTTTAAATTAAATCTAAAAAAAAAAGCCAAAATATTTAATGCATTATTTAATTATTATACCATTAGTAATTAACTTAATTTGTAGTTAACTAGTTAAGTATTTAAATCATTTACCATACTAGACTGTTGGTGTCTGGGCTTATTTATTTATTTATTTTTAAATGACATGAGACTTTGTAACTTCCTGCATTTTATATACTTCATCGTCATTTTATAATAAATCCAAAAGCAAGACGTGAGAAAAACTAGGGAGTTGAAATGGCAACTGAGCTAATGGGTGATTCTCTGCTCCCATGTACTGGCTACTTAGTTTACATTTATTTAGCTCTTCTACATTAAATTCGTTGAGTTAATATAATTAGTTGTCAACTAATAAAACTAGTAAAGCTGATAAAAACATACCTCAGGTCAACAATGAACCAAGAGAGGCTGTCGGCACTGGCACTAATTTCAATTGAACGGAACATACGTAGGTCTTTGGATATGGAGGACATAGTGACAGCATTTGCTGTAGCTAAGGCTCGTAAGCACCATTTTTAAGGTTACAATCCGTTACTGTAAATATGAATATTGTGTTGTACAGTATTGTGTCTTCTGCCATAAAGATGAAGATTGATGTTTTGTTAAAGAATAAGCACTTTGTGGTTTTTTTTAATAAGCAATTTATGTTCTATTATATGTGTTTTAACTACTTTTTGTTGTATAAATATACTATATATAGGTAATGAAGATATATTAATAAAATAATATTAGAAAGTCAAGTCAAGTTGAGCTTTATTGTCATTCCGCTACATACAGTGGAACGAAATGTCGTATCTCGCAGGACCACGGTGCTACATAAATATAAACATACAACACTAGACGTAAAAACAATTTTTTGACCTACATAGCTAACTATCTGAAGCGGTAACCTACATATACTATAAATAGTTGACTATACATACACATAACCTAAGACAGACTATACGGACTCAGAAAAAATCTATTAATTTTGCCTGGGGCCCCCACTTCATCTTGGTTCGCCTCTGCACTAGAGAGTGGCATTCCAGCGGATGATGTAGTACGTAGGCATAGCATAAGCTCCGGTGAGTATATGCTAGTCTCACGAGAACCAAGTTTTGTTTACAGCAAAAGAAAAACAGTCTCCTCTTGGCTTATATTGAAATCCTCCAACATTTTCCTTTACAAATCCTCGTTTTGTACTTCTAATTTGTGACCGGTGTTTTTGTTTTTGTTCTCTCCTCTGCGCTTCTGCGTTCATCACTTCTCACCAGAGCTTATGCTATGCCTATGTCATATACTGGAACGTCACATCTTGTGAATGTGAGTTTAGATATTTGATTATTTTGAATATCCCATACTTTCATTTACATTTAACATTACATTTAAGTCATTTAGCAGACACTTTTATCCAAAGCGACTTACAAATGAAGACAATGGAAGCAATCAAAATCAACAAAAGAGCAATTTGCAAGTCACAGTTAGCCAAATGCAGTACACGTAGGAAGTTTTTTTTTTAATTATATAATAAATAAAAAGAAAACAGACAGAATAGAAAAAGAATAGAGCAAGCTAGTGTTAGAGACCTTTTTGGCTTTTTGTTAATTGTATAATAAATAAAAAGAGAAGCTAGTGTTAGTTTTTTTTTTTTAAAGAAAACAAGCAGTTAGTAAATGAATAGAGTGCAAGTCTAAAATAGACTTAAATAATAGAATTGGAATAGAGAGTGCTAGAGTTAGAGGGTCAAATAAAGATGGAAGAGATGTGTTTTTAGCCGATTCTTGAAGATGGCTAAAGACTCAGCTGCTCGGATTGAGTTGGGCAGGTCATTCCACCAGGAGGGAACATTTAATGTAAACGTCTGTGAAAGTGATTTTGTGCCTCTTTGGGATGGCACAATAATGCGCTGTTCACTTGCAGAAGGCAAGCTTCTAGAGGGCAAGGATAGAGCAAACTAACATACTTTCAATCACAAACTCATCAGTCTGATTTTAGTCAGAGGATGTAGGTTGACCAATACCTTTAAGGCTGCCACCTACTGCTTGCCAAAAGTGTAGTGAACTTAATCTTTTCCCATACAACTTGCTAGATCAGCGACAGACAGAAACCAAAACTGATGACGTGTCTACTGCTCCATTCATCCAGGAGCCTTTAGTTTGCTCTATCCTGGCCATAAATTTGAGGTGACGTCAGCCTCCGCATGATCTACTAGTCATAATGATTTCAGGAGAGTTCAGAATAAATCAAGCTTTACATTTCATGCCAATTACATAAACAATTAGAAGCCAATTCAGAAAGGATAATGCAATTGTGAATCAAACTGTAGCCACATGGCCATTCTATGCTCCTTTACATGGCTCCACATAGGAGACACACAAATTCAACAGCGGTCTTGGTCTGAATATAAGCGTATATTCTGCACAGAAACATCTGAATCCAGTTCAGATCATGGTAGTAGGGAGAATAAAAGAACTTCATGCATCTCCTCCTTCAAACATCTTGTTAAGTGAGAAGAGAAATCATCTTGCGTCTGATGGTAAGATGACTCTCTGCCTTTGTCTCTCCGGTCTTTGTCTGGGACTGTAGGGTCTCTGGTGGGAGGAGGTGGAGGAGCACATGTCTGATCATCCAGTTATGATCCCTGCACAAGCCAAAAACAGCTATTGAACATACGCTTTCAAAAATAGATAGATACATACATACATACATACATGGCCTTGTTATGTTACACACTATAGTTATGTCATATCAATTTGCTTAAATCCTTGTAGAGTCATTGTTCCTTTAAAAATGGACTGGACTGATGACTTATGGATGATTTTGATTTAATTGGCCTTATTAAGGCAATTTCTCCTTATTTTCTCATATGCCTTCTGGGTGGAGCATGAGGTTCAGGTCGGGGATGATGAACAATTATGTTATATTAAAAAACAAAAATCATGACATGCTTCACAATGCCTTCTATAATATAGCTGATACATCCAATCCAAAGGTACATACTGATTTGAAGTTACAAAATCATATTCCTTACTTCCACTTCAAATAAGAGAGATCTCTTTCCTCATCACTTGAGGGGCTGCTGTAGGGGCCTGAAGCAATATTTTATCTTCTGTCAGGGAAAAGGAAAAAAAGAAATTAAAGATTAAACCATGACAATTTAACATTTTTCATTAATTCTCTTGCATGTGAATTTCCATACTCTGCTTTCCAATTTTATGAGTCATTCTATTTAATAACGGACTAACAGTCATATATCAAAGAGTCGTCCTTGTTCTGAAAATCATGAGAAATGTAAGAATGATGGACTCTTAACTATACTCCAATTTAATATAATGATGCACTATTACTGTATGTATCAGAGCTAATTTTGCCTTAAAACCTCTTATTTAATCTCTTTGTTGAAAGGAGCTCCATTCTTTCAAATATATGTTATAGAATAAAATAATAATAATAAAAAGATTTTCTGCCTTGCATCTCTTAATATGCTCTCTTAATATAACAAGATTAACAAACAGGGTCAGTAAGAAATAAACAGACATACTTTACTTACAGAATGTTTCTGATATCTTAATCTTTGGGACAATACTAATCTATATATATATACACCAATTCAAGATGTACTGTAAGAATGAATAAATAAAATTGAGAATATTTAGTATATTATCATATTAGTTTTACTACTGTTGTCTACATCTTATTCGCTTTGCTCATGTCCGGTGTAGACAAGGCAGTAGTCTGGAAAATGACTAGAAAATGAGTCAAAGTTTAAAGTTTAAAAGTTCAGAACAATTAAACTATGATGTTAATTTGTCCCATTAATTAGTAAAAATGAACATGACTCAAAATCCTTACATCTCTTTCTTAAGAGGACAATTACTCACACTCTTCAGCTATGAGCTGTGGATGGGGTGGAGATGGAAATGTACAGTGGGGAAAATATTTATTTGATCCCCTGCTGATTTTGTAAGTTTGCCCACTTACAAAGAAATGAAGGGTCTAAAATTGTTATGGTAGGTTTATTTTAATGGATAGAGACAGAATACCAACCAAAAAATCCACAAAAAACACATTATATATATAGGTTAGAGATTGATTTGCATTTCAGTGAGTGAAATAAGTATTTGATCCCCTACCAACCAGCAAGAATTCTGGCTCCCACAGACTGGTTATGTTCCCATGTGGAACACAGATTAGTCCTGTCACTTTAAGAAGTTACTCCTAATGTCAGCTCGTTAGGTGTTTAAGACACCTGTCCACACAATCTGTATCTTCCATTCCAACCTCTCCCACCACCATGGGCAAGACCAAAGAGCTGTCAAAGGATGTCAGAGACAAGATTGTAGATCTGCACAAGGCTGGAATGGGCTACAAGACCAGCATCAAGAAGCTTGGTGAGAAGGAGACAACTGTTGCCTCATGGGGTAAGGATGATCATGAGAAAGCTGAGGGATCAGCCCCGAAGTACACGGGAGGAGCTTGTTAATGATCTTAAGGCAGTTGGGACCACAGTCACCAAGCAAACCATTGGTAACGCACAACGCCGCAATGAACTGAAATCCTGCCACGCCTGCAAGGTCCCCCTGCTCAAGAAGGCACATGTACCGGTACCCGTTTAAAGTTTGCCAATGAACATCTAAATGATTCAGAGAAGGCTTGGGAGAAAGTGCTGTGGTCAGATAAGACCAAAATTGAGCTCTTTGGCATTAACTCGACTCGCCGTGTTTGGAGGGAGAGAAATGACCCCAAGAACACCATCCCTAGTCAAGCACGGAGGTGGAAACATTATGCTTTGGGGCTGTTTTTCTGCTAAGGGTACAGGGCGACTTCACCGCATTGAGAGGCAAATGGACGGGGCCATGTACTGTAAAATCTTGGATGAGAACCTCCTTCCCTCAGCCAGAACACTGAAGATGGGTCATGGATGGGTCTTCCAGCATGACAATGACCCGAAACATACCGCCAAGGCAACAAAGGAGCGGCTCAAGAAGAAGCACATTAGGGTTATGGAGTGGCCTAGCCAGTCTCCAGACCTCAATCCTATAGAAAATCTGTGGAGGGAGCTGAAACTTCGAGTTACCAAACGACAGCCAAGAAACCTTAAGGATTTAGAGAGGATCTGTAAAGAGGAGTGGATCAAAATCCCTCCTGAGATGTGTGCAAACCTGGTGACCAACTACAAAAAAACGTCTTACCTCTGTGCTTGCTACCAAGGGTTTCTGCACCAAGTACTAAGTCATGTTTTGCTTGGGGATCAAATACTTATTTCACTCACTGAAATGCAAATCAATTTCTAACCTTTATATAATGTGTTTTTTTCTGGATTTTTCGGTTGGTATTCTGTCTCTATACGTTAAAATAAACCTACCATAAAAATTACAGACCTTTCATTTCTTTGTAAGTGGGCAAACTTGCAAAATCAGCCGGGGATCAAATAAATATTTTCCCCACTGTATGTGCTGAATGACATGGGCAGAATCTACTATGGAACTAAGCAGCAGATTGCCTGCAAAACATGGAACTTTGGTCAAGTAAGAGCCAAACTTTCACTCATATTACAAGAGTGCTTACACAGGAGTTAACATTATGTCAGAGAGCCAATGTGAATACACTGATTTCAGTGGGAATAGTGTATCACAAGAAAATGGCACAAACAACAAAATTGTTCTTTTTCTAGTGTGTAAGTAACCCTATAAGTAACAAGGGTGTGCATTAAAAGTGTTGGAACCTATTGGGGTTTCTGTCTTTTCACATTCCATTTCTCTTGACGCATCTGAGATATAATTCTACAGAATAAGCTCTACTCCACAAGAGACAGCATGGCAAATTTTTCAATTTCCAATTTCCTCAATCCTCTGTCTGTTAATTAGTTCGAGGAGGGAATCTTGTCTGCGTGTATTTATGTGTTGGAGAAGAGCTGCACACCTTGCTCAGGATGGGGAATCCCCATTAACATTTCCAGAGTGGTGTCTGACATGGTGAGTCTTCATTTTCTTCTTATCAATACCCTGCTTTCATTTCGGAAATTCTTTAAAATGGTCCGATTTGTTCTCTTCTGAGTGTGGTTTCTGCATTCAAAATAAAATAGTTTTAATCATCTCTCATCAGGTTATTGCCAACAAAGACTGTGGTGTGCTGGTGGGTAACTGGTCAAACTGCTATGGAGATGGAACCGCTCCGACATCCTGGTGCAGCAGCAGTGCCATCCTGAAACAATACCACAAATGTGGAGGAATACCGGTCAAATATGGACAGAGCTCGGCCTTTGCTGGAGTCACCAACACACGTAAGACTTCCTGCAGACTGGACGAGGAGAAAAAGTTTTGAGAAAGTGATTGTAGATATAATGCACTTATTTTCTTCCTCTCTTTCTCGTAGTGTTGAGGTGTTTGGGAATTCCTGCTCGTCCGGTCTCAAACTTCTGTTCTGCTCATGACACTGATGTTTGTTTGACATCTGACGTCTATTTGGATGAGAAATTCCAGTTGATCGATCACATGAACGTTATTTAATCTGGTAAGTCTCATTACCATTTGTGATGTCCTAAAGAGTTTGAATGTGCATGAACTGTTTCGATTTCTTTCTTCTCCTCTTTCATGTAGGAACTACCAAGTGTGGAATGAGGCCTGGATGACTCGGTCAGACCTGCCATCTGGTTTCGGAGGTTGGCAGGTGGTTGATTCCACTCCTCAACGGACCAGCCAGGGCTTCTTCCGCTGCGGCCCTACCTCTGTTGCTGCGATCCGCAGTGGACAGACCTTCCTGAAGCATGATGTGCCCTTCATTTTCGCTGAAGTGCGTTAATTCCTTCAATTTACTATTGTGTCATACAGCGATTATAATGACATATTACTTAAGATTCCTGTTTGTCTCTGTGTGTTCTAGGTGAATAATGATAAAGTTTACTGGCAGAGAAAATGTGATTGAACATTTGGTGTTGTCCACGTTGAGAAGGATGTAGTAGGTTACTGCATCAGCACCAAGGCTGTTGGCTCAGATCAACGTGTGGATATCACAAATCTCTACAAACACCCACTCGGTAAAAACCACATGCATGTCTCTTAAAACATCTGGTTCAGTTCCCAACACTTTGAACCATGGTGCTTATACTAGTGATGAATGTTGGTGTTTCTCCTGTGTTTCATCACTCTCTAAATTTTCCTTTTACTTTCATTGATCAGGTTCTTCTGAGAAGTGCACTGCTTTGGAAACAGCTCTTTGTCATGGCTCCAAGCGATGCACATACCCACTGCCCTGTGCTGAGGATGTTGTCTGTGAAGTCAACCTGAAAGGGGATGGATCATGTGTGGGCAAAGATGCTGTGCTTTGCATCAATCTAAAAAACAAATGCAGCTCACCTCGTAGCATCACCCTCTACAGCCAGGCTGCAGCCATGTACTACACCGGAGTCAGAAAGACCTTCCTGAAGAAAGACCACACATGCATTGAGCTCAAGCCCTCTGAATGTGAGAAATTATAAAATCTGAAATCAAAGAGTTGCAATACATGAGACTACACAGTTGGTACAATGTAGATTATGGGTAAAGAGACTTGAGTATTCATTCAATATTTGTCACTTTTCCCCACAATAGGCAGACCTCTGGAATGGACCCTGAGTTATGACGAGTATAAGGAACACCTGGTGGATCACGCCTCACTGATGCTCAACATCTTCGGACATGTGGCTCAGACTAAGCAGGTTTTGGCCACACAGTACAGCTTCAGACTGCGCACACCAGATCTTGTTATCGCTGTGAGTTCAAAGTTATGGTTCAACTGATACATCTTTTGATTGTTTGAAATCATCTCATGCATTTCAATTGCGTCTTGTATGTGGTTCTTCTCAGCCTGTATGTGATGCTGTCGTGGGTCAAGAGGTGCCAGTCAAAATCACTTTCCAGAATCCACTGCCTTGTGTCCTGAAGAACACTGCATTCTGCTTTGTGGGACTTGGACTGCAGCATGCCAGAGTTGTTAACTATGGGTAAAATTAATTTCATTAATTGTTTAATTAAATAATAGATTCATTTATTCATTATTCTTTTTAATTTTCACTTAATTATATAAATTATTATTGCTAGACAGTGATTATTTAATCCAAAAAAGTAAAATGTAAAACAGTAGTATTAAATAATCTTTCTTTCACAGTGACATTGCAGGGCATGCCACAGTGTGCCTGACGGAGAAGTTTATTCCCAAGTGTCACGGCCCACATAAGTCTGAATCCAGTTCAGATCATGGTAGTAGGGAGAATAAAAGAACTTCATGCATCTCCTCCTTCAAAAATCTTAAGTGAGAAGAGAAATCATCTTGTAGGCTCTGATTCTCAACAAGGCATTGATTCATGAGTAAGACTTCAGTGAGGTTGCAAGGTCCTAAAATAGTATTCTGGCTTCATAAAGAACAGGTCAGTCAGGATTGGTCTGAAGGGGTCTTGTGTCTGATGGTAAGATGACTCTCTGCTCATCTATCCGTTTGCCCTGGGAGCGAAGGATGAGGCTGAAGAAGTCTTCGTCTGGGACTGTAGGGCCTCTGGTGGGAGGAGGTGGAGGAGCAGCTCAGGTGCATGGATTCGCCAACATTGTTGTCATACAGCACTGTTAAACCAAACAAATAACTAAAACAGAGGAAACATCATGGCTCCGCTGAATATAAAGCACTCACATTGAACGGAATTGCAAAATTAGATAACGGCTGTTTGTTTCTCTTAACCTACAAGCTATAAACATTAAACTTCTCACAGTGCATTTAGTCATGATGTAGGACAAGTGCACTTATGCTTTATGCAAGACACTGTTGTCTTTTAATTTTTTTGGGGGGGAATTGGCATTTAGGTGTTTGAGAGACTGCAAATGTCATTCTGAATCAGTTATTAACCCCCCCCCATTTGGAAACTCAAGTAATTGTTTCATGGTGTTGGTTACTCTGTACTGTGTAGCTTCAGCTTCAAATAAAATATTTCCAGCATACTAAACGGAGTCAGTTTGTGCTGTGTAATTGAGCAGGATCTATTCAAATGAGGCTTTATTCCTCTTGTCATTTAAAATTAGTAATACATATTTGTCTTATATACTTTCCATAACATTGAATTTTATATTTACATAAATCCAAACTTTTGCAGACTGCTTGTTTCTAAAACCTCAAAATATTAAAATAGAGCATTGCTTCGCTGGTATTAAAAGATAAAACATTTCAAGTCAAAAAAAAGAATCAAAACAGAACTGATATATGTTTAGTATTAAATATATATATATATACATCCAGTCTGGATCCCTGTACAAGCCAAAAACAGCCATTGAACATACGCTTTCAGAAAGAGTTAATAGTTCCATGCACCCATATAATAACATTAACCTGGCACTTAATCAGCATGTCGAAGAAGTCTTCATCTGGTTCTCTGTTATCGGCCGAGGCCATGAGTTTTCTGAGAACGTCCTGGCTGTGGCGCGGGTCCAGCCGGAGACCCGGGAGACTGTCCACACTGGCCCGCTGCTCGTCCAGCCGACGGCTCTGTGAGCTGGCCAGCAGGTCTAGGAAATGGCCAGGCTGTGCCGAGGCCTCCTCTCCGGGCGTGGAAATAGCTAAACAAGGTTAAAAACAGAGCAATTTAAAACAGGCCCATTTAAACATTGCTAAAATATATACACGCACATACACACAACACAACTGTTGTTTGTTGTTGTGAAAGTTGCTTTTTAACAGAAATTGATACTTTTATTCAGCAAGGAAACAATAAATTGGTCAAATGGTGTCAGTAAAGACATTTCTATTATAACAAAAATTAATGTAATTGATTTCAAATAAATTATGTTATTTTTTTAACTATTCATCAAAGGGTCCTGAAAAAAAAATATTACCAGTTTCTACACAAATATTAAGCAGCACAACTGTTTTCAATATTTATAATAATAAATGTTTCTTGAGCAGCAAATCAGCATATTAGAATGATTTCTGAAGGATCATGTGACACTGAGGACTGGGGTAATGATGCTGAAAATTTGGCTTTGCATCATAAGAATAAATTACTTTTTAAAATATAATACAATAGAAAACAGTTATTTTAAATTGTAATAATATTTTACAATATTAATGTTTTTACTACATTTTTGATCAAATAAATGCAGCCTTGATGAGTATGACTTCTTTCAAAAACATTAAAAAAAATCTTACTGACCCCAGACTTTTATTTTGTTAAAAAATAAAAGAATGGAAAAAAGTGTGTGTGTGTGAGTGTGTGTGTGTGTGTGTGTGTGTGTGTGTGCGTGTGTGTGAGTGTGAGTGTTAATTTATTTTTATGTTTTAATATGCAAAAGTAGAATTTGACATTTGGCCGTAAACAACAGGACATTTTGGTTTCTGTTTGTAACACCTATTTGAAACATCAAGTATGATTGGCTGTGATTTTGTCATGTGACAATACTCTAGTGTTCAGTGTTTTGCTTGGCACATTGCTTGTCACAATGTATGCGCTGCTAAACGCTGGTATAATTATTACAAACTAAAGGTGCGTGCACACTGTCACGGTCTGTTATTTGCTAGTAGGTTTGTTATTTGCAGAAAGTTAATTTCTGCTCACATTGTTCCACTTTAAATCACCTGCTCCTACTTTTCTGCTTTAAATCAGTGTGAATGCACCTTCAATGATTTTGCACCTTCATATACAAGTATAGAGGACAGTGAGGGAGGACGACTCACGTTTCTTCAAGGCTACAGGTGGGGTTTCACAGGGAATGGAAGGGGCGGGAACACGGTTCAGGCCGTCCTGTAACGAGCACCTTTGGTCATCCATGCGACTGCCTTGAAAACGGCTCAGAAGATCAAAAAAGCCATCGTCACCCAGAGTGTCTGGGGCGTACTGTGGGAAAAGCCATTCAAGGAAATGATAAAAATGTTAGTATATTTACTTTTTATAATTTATCATTTAAAATGACAACCTGCTATTGGTCATGTGTCATTCAGAAAAGATTAGTATTTGACCTGTTTGTCCAGACGGGCTAAAGGTGGGCTGCTGCTGCTGTGGTTCTCAGCTGGTGGACTGGAGTTTGACCCATTCAGCCTGTGTTTTTTGCTCCTGAAGCGATTGATGAAGAAAAGTTTAGAAGATGTCTTGGCTATGGATGATTTGGTTGGCGATTTGGTTTGCTGAGGGGTTGTAGACTCCTCACAGGCCTGGCCCTGGACAGATGAGGCATTAGCAAACGATTTGATATGCAATATTATGAAATCTGAATTTTGACACTGATTTGTCTCACCGTATTTTTGTCAGAGCTGAGTTTCATGAGCTCCATGTTCTCCATGCTGTGTCTCCTGCTTCCTCTGGATCTTCCATCTACAAAACCAGAAAGAAGCTGTGACCCGGACTCATTCTGTAGATCAGTTGTGCTAAAAGCATATATGTGACCATGGACCACAAAACCAGTCATAAGGGTCAATTTTTTGAAATTGAGATTTATACATCATCTGAAAACTGAATAAATAAGCTTTCCATTGATGTATGGTTTGTTAGGACAATATTTGGCCGAGATACAACTATTTTAAAATCTTGAATCTGAGGGTGCAAAAAAAAAAAATCTAAATATTGAGAAAATCGCCTTTAAAGTTGTCCAAATGAAGTTCTTAGCAATGCATATTACTAATCAAAAATTAAGTTTTGATATATTTATGGTAGGAAATTTACAAAATATCTTCATGGAACATGATCTTTATTTAATATCCTAATGATTTTTGGCATAAAAGAAAAATCAATAATTTTGACCCATACAATGTTTTTTTTGGCTATTGCTACAAATATACCCCATACCCCAGCTCCAGGGTCACATATTGCGTACATTTTAGTATTTGTTTCTGTCAAGCATATTAATCATGCACAAAGTAATTTTGTACATTTTAAATGTATATATTTATGTGATATAAAAAAAATTAAAGAGCAGCACAAGGAGGATATTCAAGCCAATTTGAGTTTAAACAAAATGTACAACTTTCATCCAGTAGGTGGCGCTATCACCAAACACCAAACATGGTACTCTCAAACTAAACTTTAATATGCCAAAATACAGCATTAACTGCATATTTTAAAACTTGTATTGCAATTTTTTGCATTACAAGTTTTTAAATCTGTTTTTTTTTTTTTTTATCTATTTGAAAATTATTAAGATATTTTAACAGTTGTATTGCAAACTTCTGAATATACTTCTTAATATTCTAAAATGGCTTAAATGGGATTTTGTTTTCAATTTATTACGTTTCTCAATAATAACATGAAAGTACTATTTTTGTTAAAAAATACTTTGTGGTTTGTGCTTATCACAACCAGTGTTGGGGAAAGTTACTTTTAAAAGTAATGCATTACAATATTGCGTTACTCCCTAAAATAGTAACTAATTACGTTACTTAGTTACTTTTTATGGAAAGTAATGCGTTATATTACTTTTGCGTTACTTTCGCGTTACTTTTTAAATATGAGCAGGGCTTGATTGTTTTTAATATAAGAAGTTCTATTTATAGCAAATATAAAAGCCCTTTCACACCAAAAAGTGTAATGAATAACTCGCATTACTTGTAATGAGTTACCCCCAACACTGATCACAACTATAATTTTGTTGATCTATGTTTGTACATTTTAGTGCTTTATTGTATTATCTTTATTTTGTATTATATGATTATTTATATTTCCTATTTTTATTTTCATAAAATTATTTTTTTTATGATTACTATTATTTTATTGTTGTTTCCCCAGCACTCTATATATAATAGAAAATATAAATAAATCATAATTAATAATAAAAAAAAGTTTGGGTAACGCTTTATTTTACAGTGTTCTTGTAACATGTTACATATAGCAAGAGAAAGTAATAAGAGAAGAGTAATAAGACAAAATTACATGCAATAACCCTATAGTAAGTACATGTTGTTAAATAATATTACTAAGTACTTAAATGTATAATTACACTGTAACAAGGACAACATGAAATAAAGTGTAACCAAACTTTGTGCACCTTTAAGGATTCTTGTACAAATTCAAATTCAACAGCCATTTGTGGTTTTAAAGTTGTGTGTGCTGTTACCAGGCAGACTGCTGTCACCGGGCGGACTCTCGATGAAGGCAGAGCTGTTAGTGTTGGAATTATTCTGCTTCAGACTCAAAACTAACTGCAGATCAGATACGTTCATTCGAGCCGTCAGCTCCCCACTGCGGTCTCCAATCTGAGCAGCACACACACACAGGAAGGAAAAAACATTACTGGAAGTGCTTCTCCAGAAAACACGAACACGCAGAAGCCAGCGTAAGTCACGTTTCACCTCAAAATCAAATGAAAGAAATAAGAATATTTACCCTCACATTATTTTTATGAAAATTAAGCAGAAAAAGTCCTCTTCTGCTTTCTTGCATTTCACCTCTAGCTTGTTTCCTAATCGAATCTAGTGTTAATAAAGCTGACTTTATCAGAACAGGTCTAATGCTACATAAGTAGAAAAGAAAAGTCACTTTAGAGGAAATTATTTAGAGATTTCAGTGGAATAACAATGACAAATCATTCACAATAAGATCAGGAACGTGCATTAAGAAAATAAATCTGTTCAATTTGGATGTTAAATGTGTTTTTAATCACAAAAGTGTGTTGTACAAACTTTAATTTATGCTAATTAAATAAAATAAATGTATCAGAGACAGTAATTGGGAAAAATGGTAACTTGCTTTTAAGAACTGAGAATTTTGGGTGAAAAAGGTCTTAATCATCATAAAAATAATGTCGGGATCAGAGTTACTATTGTTAACTAAAAACCTAAAAAAAAAAAAAAAAATGTATTACTTGAAATAAAACAACCATTAGCTGAAATAATATACAAAAAAGCTAGCTGCCATGGTAATGCTATTAAAATAACATAATCATAATACAAAAATCTTAATCCTAAAACAAGCTTCTTTTTTCAATTTAAAACATAATTTCTTGCTATTCTTGCTTTTTTTTTTTCTCTCTCTTTAGATTTTTCTTTTCCTTGAGATTCACCCGCGGGCTTTACTGTGCAGACAGGAAGTGTGTTGGTGTTATCTCAGTGCACGCACACACACACACACACACACACCTCTTTGGAGATCTCCAGATGTTTTTCAGCGAAGCTCATGGCCTGCTCGTGGTTTCCCAGTGCGGTGTAGGCGTTCCCTAAACTCCAGCACGCTCTCCCTTCTCCGATCCTACACACACAGAGACAGAGACAGCATTAGACGTCAGGAAGAGCAGCAGCACAGACAGGAAGTGTCAGTGACAGTGTACCTGTCCTTGAGGTCCTGAGCTATGATGAGATGTTTGAGGTGATAGTCTATGGCTCTCTCATAGTCCTGCAGGAGCGTGTAGGTGTTGCCCAGACTGTAGCAGGCCTGAGCCTCCACGGCCCTGTCCTTCAGCTGCCGCGCCAACTGCAGTGTCCGCCTGCAGGAGAAACACACCACAATCACCTCATCATATGACTCCAGCTCATCTAACAGCAAAGTACAGACGTGCATGTTTTTTTGGACTTGTATCATGGTAATGTCATATTTTAGCCATTGTACTTGTATATAAGACTGCTGAAGAAATCCATGCATGAGGCTCCCAGTATATCTGATCCCAGTTCAAATTTCAAATTTCTATATATGCTAAATTTTGGTTAAGGTTGAAGGTTTCGATGAATAAAGGTTTTTCTCTCTGCCTTGCAAGGAAAAAAGTGACAATAAACATGGCTTATAATGGCTATAATATAATGTCTATATTAATGGAAATTGAATAAATAGGAAAGTGGAAAATAAATCAATTATAATTTGTAAATTAATTATAATAAAATAAACAATAATGTAAAAAAAGGGGAAATAATCATGGTTGTTGCTTTTTTCTCTCTGTCTTGCGAGGACAAAAATGACAATGAACATTACTTATAAGGGCTAAAATATAACGTCTATAATAAAAGAAATTAAATGTGGAAATAAAAGTGGAAAGTAAATTAATTATAAAATAAAATAAAATAATCACGGTTGTTGCTTTCTTTCTATTCCTTGCTTTAGATATTACGTTTAACTTAGAATAAAATATTTATAAAAAAAAATTGCTGTTGTAGCTTTGTTTGTTTTCCTTGCTTTGTATATTATGTTAAAAACTTGGAATAAAATATAGAAAGAAAAACAACATCATAACAAAACAAAATAAAATAAAATGCCAACTGACTTGTAATGTTCAGCTGCAACTTCAAATTGTCCAAGGAATATGTATGCATTTCCAAGGTTACAATATGCTCTCCGCTCTGCAGCTCTGTCTCCAAACTCCTTTGCAATAAGGAGACGCTGTAAAATCAAACAAACAAACAAAAAACATGATTTATTTTTACATTAAGCCTAATTCATGAAACATGAACCCTGCTGATTTGTTCATCACGAGCATTTTCTGCACGACAGGTGCACAGAGTACAACACTGCAAGTTTCTGCATTATTATTGTACATCTAGTAATATTTACTCTTGCAATACATATATAAAATTGTAAACATAATAATACAGACCTTTTCTGTACAGTAATCCAACATTTATCAGTTTGTGCATTTTCAGTTTTTTTCAGTCCATTTTAATGGAAACCACAGGCTTGTTCATTTAGGAAACTCTCCGTATGAAATACCTGTTCGTGAGCCAGAACAGCATCCTGGAAGTTTCCGAGCAAATAGTGCGAGTTGCCAAGGTTACCGTAGGTCCTGCCCTGTGCCGCTCTGTCCCCCAGCTCTTTCACAATGGCCAGATTCGCTCTTCAAACCGAGAGGTGCAGTATTAGATACAGTGGCGGGGATAAAACAATAAAAGCTTTAGCATGCCTTTGGAAAACACTGCTGCAGTCTCTGCAATGTTCTTTCAGAAATGAAATATTTTGTCTTTTGGCACATGTGTGTCGTCTACACACTGGTTTGGGTGTTCAGAAGAATGAAAACAACAAATGCTGGCTGGCTCACTCATAGTACTCTGTTGCTTTCTTCAGAGCGATGCGTGCCTCCTCGGGAAATTCTCCAGGGTCCATACCGCTCCAACATATGTTCTTCCCCTTGGCGTGGTACACATTCCCATAATTATACAGCGCTCGGGCCTGCCCCACCTAACAAAACCACACACAGACACGCACACACAACAGTCAGTCCACACGCACCGCTCATTACACACCTAAAACGGATCGACGGCTTGCATTTAAACTATGTTTATGGTCAGTTAAAATAGATCAAGTGGTGTCTCGGGATAACAGGACTTCCAAAAACATCCGAGGCAAACTTGGCCATGAACTATTCAAACGGAGAATAGAACGATTTTGTCGTCATGTACTCGCCCTTAAACATTGGAGATATAAAAAAAATAGACCATAATAATATTAAAAATGTATATAATCAACACATTTTTACTCTAAAAGGGTTTAAAAATATGAAGAATGTATCCTTATGACAATTTCCAAAGTAATCCCATCAGTTTGTTTGTTTATTTATATATATATTTGAATAGTTTATTTTTATCAATATATACATGCTATTTCATTTATCTGTGTTTTATTTAAGTATTGTTTACTTTACTAAAAAAATATTATCAGTCAACAAATCTATGACCATTTTAGCTTTTTATTATATCTGACTTACATCTTTTTTTTAAACAGTGAGCAAATTATATCAGCAAACTAAAATTATATTTAACAGTTAGTTTATTAGTTAGTTAGTCAGTTATTTGTAGTTTTATTTGTATTATTTTATTTATTTACATTTAATTTACTTATTATTTACATTCCTAAATCAATATTTTCCAATATTTTTTTGCTTTTTATTACATCTGATTGCTTGCTTTTTTCAAGCAATGAGGCTTATTTCTTTTAGCTGAACATTTTATTATGAACATTTTCTTAAACATTTTAGTTGATAACAATATATAAGCACATTTTATGGGAAAGTGATTCAAAAATTAAAAATGAATAAAAAAGTCCTATTACTTACAATCCTATTATTATTTATTTGCTTGAACAGTCAGTTTTATTTTATCAGTTAATAAAACATTACTATTTTATTTATTTATCTATTTTAAGTCTTTTATTTCAAAAGTTTGATTTTTATTTGATCAAAAAAATCACTGTAAATACAAACCATTTTATTTATTTATATTTAAACAGTTTATCAATAAATAAATAAATAATTAGTATTGCTTACATCAATAAATAAATTAAATCAGTCAATAAATGCATTTAAAATGCTTTTTATTATATCTCCTCACCATATTTAGATATTTTTCCAAGCAATAAGGTCTATTTTTTTTTACTTGGAAGTTTTCTTTGGTTCTGCAAGCATATTGTGACGAGGAGCTGTCAAGCTCCAAAAATGGACAAAAAAGTGCCATAAAAATAGTCAATACGTGATATTCTCAGCCTGATGACGGCGTATGATAGCTGTCAGATCTTATTCACACGAACACATCGCACGTATGTACACTGTGCCTTGACACTAAGTGCTAGGTTTGACATCAATAATGCCATTGGTTCATGAGAATCATACTGTAGATTCTTTAAAATATCTTCATTTTGGGTTTAGCTATTGCATTAAAAGGCCCTTTGGTTGTGTTAAACACCTCACCTTATCATGGAGCATCCTAGAAATGTCCAGATGTCTTTGGCAACAAACTGCTGCTTCATCATAGCGACACAAAACCTTCAAAGTGTTTCCAAGGTTACCACTGGCTTTAGCTTCTCCCAGCTGATCTCCGATAGTTCTGAAAGAGTCCGAATAACAAAACATGTTCTTTTAGATAAGGACATAATCCTGCCAGCTTTGAAACAGTGACATAAGCTTCCAGATTCAGACCTGGTGAGTGTGAGGTCATGGCGATGGTATTCCAGCGCCTTGTTGTAGTCGTGCAGGTGGAAGTAGGCATTGCCCAGCTGACTGTAGATGGCACTCAAAATCTGCAGGTCTTCTGTGCCCACCTGGATGGCCGACTCAAAAAAGGAGACACCCACAAGGTAATCTCCCACTTTACACAGACGCTCACCTTCCAGAGCCAGTTCCAGACATGAGGCCTCCATCCTGCGCGGGACAGTAGAGAGGTGAGCAAAGAGCAAGATGTTTATCATGGATAAAAAAAAAGAAAGTATTTTGGTTAAAAATAAAATAATAGTTTAAAGGGCACCTATTATGCAAAATCCACTTTTACATGGTGTTTGGACAAAAATGTGTGTTGGCAGTGTGTGAACCCAACCACCCTACAATGATAAAAATCCACCCACTCCTCATTTTTTAATCCCCTTTAAACCAAATCAGTCTCACTAGGCAAGCCGTTTTGATTCTCTATGCAATGTGACATCACATTGCATAGGGCTGGGCTACGGGGGTTGATTGACAGCCCTGCATTGCCATAGTTTCCGCCCTCAGCGGTTGTACGCTGTCCTCCATTTTCTCCGCTCTCGAGCAGCTGAAATGCCAACAATGTGTCGTAAGCAGTCCCGGAGCGCTGTCTGGATGTAAGACTGAACATTCGTTTTCTCCCAACAACTGAGCTGCTGAGGACGCAGTGGATTACTTTCATTTTTCAAGGTAATGCGCTTCAAAATCTACTTAAATACGTTTATCACTCCAGACTGCTTTGTGAATATCATGTCGTTATAGTGCTTAGTGTATTAACCGTGTTAGTGTGCGTACGTTATCCAAGTATTTTAATTGATCAGTGCCACGCTGGTGAGATTAGTTTGTGTCGTGCTGTTCGTTCGGTAGCGCAGTCGCATCGCGCTGTAACATTGCGCTGTTTCGACCCACTTTCAGTGCATTTGGCTTCCCATATGTATGGCTGAACACCGGTTCTCTTGCTCTCAGTCATGTTGCTTTTACTGGCTGTTTATTGTTGTAGATATGCAATGCAGAGAGACATATACGCGACGCCCTCTTCTGGAGACGGTGCAGGAATATGCAGCTCATTTGCATTTAAAGTGATACAAACCAAAACAGCTCTTTTTTAGACACACCCCAAAAATGTCATTTTCTAGCTGTTACAATAAATGATCTGTGGGGTATTTTGGGCTGAAACTTCACAGACACATTCTGGGGGCACCCAAGACTTGCAAAATGGGGCATAATAGGTGCCCTTTGAAAAATGCTAAATTAATGCAATAAATGAATACAAATTTAAATAAGCTCAAAATAAATCAATTGGGAAAAAAAAATAATAAATAACAATTAATAAATAATGAAACAAATAAAAATGATTAAAATAAAAAATAAATGAATAAAAAAAGATAAATTAAGAATTAATGAAGAAAAAATGAATAATAATAATAACAATAAAATAAATACACACACATACAAAAAATAAATAGCAAAATATATAAATAAACATTTTAAGTAATAAATAATTAATAATAATAATAATAATAATAATAATAATACATAAAAATGCAATTAAATAAATAAAATAATAAATATAAGCTACATTTTAAATAAATAAATAACTTAAACAAACAGTCAAACATAAATATTTTATTGATTGATTTTCAACCAAATGTCTATTTACTAGAGCTGCAACTAGGATGAGCACAGAGACACAACGAAAGTAGCGGGGACTGAAATAATAAAATATCGCAGTTTGATATACACGTTAAGACTAGTACGAGAAAAGAGCAACTAAAAGCAACTTAAACCTAATAAGCAGTTTAGTATTTGTGTTTAAGCATTTTCTAGCATTACATTCAGACACTGTACTTTTATATTTACATATAGAGGTCTTTTTAAGAGGCCTTACAGATGAGGAAGTATGAGGGCCCACATCATCGTAACAGCTTTCATTTTAAGTCTATTTACTGTAAATGCATTTCCTATTCATTTCTACACACTAGGCGACACCAAGTTAAAATGTTTGTCTGTAAAAAACAACAGCATTCCACAGATATGGCAGCAAAATCTAGAAAGAATTATTACAACACTAACATCATTAGGTCTTTGTCTACGCAAGTTCTTGAAAAGGTCTTTTTGGCTGACATGCACTAAAAACATGATGACTCCCTTATGAACAGTTTAAAGAGTTTCACAGAGTGACTAAGAATCTCAGCTGAAAACGCTTCCATGAAGCAGCAACCAGAAGGCTGACTTGAATGCTTGGAAACGGTCTAAAGCAGGGGTGCCCAAACTTGGTCCTGGAGGGCCGGTGTCCTGCAGAGTTTAGCTCCAACCCCAATTAAACACACCTGAACCAGCTAATCAAGCTCTTACTAGGCATACTAAAAACTTCCCAAGAGGTGTGTTGAGGCAAGTTGGAGCTAAACTCTGCAGGACACCAGCCCCCCAGGACCAAGTTTGGGCAGCCCTGGTCTAAAGTATGACAAAATACGTGCAAAATATAAACATGCATGTTGTATTTGCATACAAGCATTTATTTAAAACATATAAGCTAATCTTTTGTAAAAAATTATGTATATATTTACGGTCACTTTTGATCAATTTAATGCATCCTTGCTGAACAAAAATATTAGTTTCTTTCAAAAAACAATGTTACCAACACCAAACTTTTGAATGGCTTTTCAAACCAACAAGCAATCACCTCCAACACCCCGGCAACACCTTAGCATCCACATATGTCAGCTGTGTGCAGGAAAACTCACAAACCTCACCTTTTTTCCTTTCTCTTTTTGGAACTTTCAGCGCACCGTCTAAACATCTTAATCTTTTTCATGACTTTCTCTCCTCCGGTGTGATAGACATGTTTAATTCTCCACGGGGTGCAGCATGAGACCCACGGCTTCGACCCTCTCAGACACATAACGAAACAGACTGACCTCTTCCAAAAGACACCGAATTTCAAGATAACCCCCCTCTGTGAGACCTTTCCCAAGCCTCTATGCCTGGGAGAAGCCTCTGCATAACCAAACCAGGCTTTAGCTTGTAAAATGTTTTGTTGCTGACATGCGGCGACAGGTAACGCTGGGTCTCGCACACCTCAGCGGTAGGCCTGCTGATAACAGATGCAACAGTGCGACATGCCAGTGTCATCTACGGACACCCGATGGCAAGCGTCAATTCCAATTATGAGTGAGAGGACACATGGCGATTATCACGCGTAAAGGAGGAAAGAGAGTAACTCTAATGTGCTTTGAACAGCTCCTAAACCCGTTATTCCAGTTGGATGGGTCAACCTCAGAAAAAAATGCAATGCAGCTTCTGATATTTTTCCACTTACACTAAATGTTCTTTATTGGTATCTATGGTTCCATGAAGAACCTTTAACATTTATCAAGTTTTTTTGAATTTATGGAACTTTCCACTGTACAAAAAGTTATTTTTTAAAAGAACTTGAGCGCTATCTACAGAATTTTTTTTTTTTAAGTTCTTCACACTAAAAAAAATAAAGAACTGTTCAGTAAAAAATGTTATTTGGGGAACCAAAAATTGTTCTTCCATGGCATTGCTGCAAAAAACCCTTTTGGAACCTTTATTTTTTAAAATAAAGGTTCTTTAATGGCAATGGTTCCATGAAGAATCTTGAACAATTATGGAATCTTTCCATTGTACAAACTTTGTTCTTTAAAAGAAAAGGTTCTTTTAAGAACTGTGAAACCCCCCTTTTGGAACCTTTATTTTTATGAGTGTAATTACTTAGTTTTGCTTGCCAAGTCATGCTTTACTATTACTTACTCATACTCAAGGTTAAGGATTAGAACAAACCCATAACACTAAAAATTAAGCTTTGATACTTAGCTAGTCCTGCAGCATTTCAGCAACAGACATGAAGATACCTCAAATCATGTGACTTGTTGAGTATAGTTTAAATATTCATAACACAATATATTTAGAAGATAAAAAAGCCACAAAAAAAAACATTAATTTACAGTACACTGAACGAGGGACACAAAACATAACTAGACGTGAGAATCTAGTTACGCTTTTGGCTTGGGTCAGTAAGCAAGCAATAGTCAGCAACTTTCAGGCAAATGCACAGTGTTCTTCTGAATATGTGAACAACTAGTCACTCTCTGCATTAATAATACAAGTTAGCCGAGAAAGTAGAAAGGCGTTAAAGTCTTCAAGGAATAAAGAAATCCAACAAAACCTTCCAGAATTGATTAAGCTTCTGCTAAAGTAGAGTGAGATGTTGTCCTGAAGGAGAAAAATAGAAATCTTTTCTAATATTATAAATGGCTTTACTGTTACTTTTGATCAATTTAATGCATCCTTGATGTATAAAAATAGATATTTAAAAAAAAAACCTTACTGACCACAAACTTTTGAACAGTTTTTAACTTGGGCAGTAAGTACCTCAAACATCCTGGCAAACAACAGAGAAGACCTTAGAAACCACAATTAGCAAGAGAACGAGAAGGTATGAAGGCTTTAGAGCTGTGAAGGAATAAAGCAATCCAAGAAAACCTGCCAGAATCGATTAATCTTCTGCTGAAGTAGAGTGAGATGTTATCCTGAAGAACGAATCGACTCCAGCCAGAGAATCACTCAGGTAACCAAGGCCACGCTGGGAAAATCCATTAGACCGAGTTCAATCCCGCACTTTGCCCAGAGTGTCCTCAGCTGTTCGCATGTTCTAATTTCTTTATCCTCAGCGAGGTGGGACGCTGGCCGAGCGGCTGATGCCATTTCTCCACTGACCGATGCAAATGACTAATTCGCACCGTATATTAACTCGTACCTCTCATGAAGTGATGCATTTCACTGATACTTACTGAAATGCCAGGCACATGCTGCTCGTTATTTCGGTTCATTTCTAAAACTCCGACTTTAAAGGGACAGTTCACTTTAAAAATGAAACTTTTGTCATTATTTATTCACCCTCAAGTCTTTCCATGAGTTCTGTGGAACTTAAAAGGAGAAGGTTTAGCACAATGTCTCTTTTCCATACAAAATGAGTTGTGAACAAAAATGACAACAACCAAAAAGTATTATAAAAGCAGTCCACTTAAATCAGAAGCTATATATTACAAGTCTTCCGAAGCCAAACAAGAGCATTGTGTGAGGAACATGTAGAAGTTGTAAATTAAGAATGATTTCAGTAATGAAAGGGGTCATATGATGTTGCTAAAAAGAACATTATT